ATACCTCAACTCTATATCCACTGAGTTAATAAATTAGTAATAATAATACGCATAGTAAAGGTATAAGATCGAGTACGATCAATACAAGATGACACTTGATCTCGCTGACCAACATCTAGCAAATTGCTATTTAAGTGTTAGACAAAGAATGTTTGAATTCCAATTTTATTAGACCATTTTTATTTTCTCAGGCAAAATTAATATTGAATGCAAGAAAGTATCACTCTTCAATCGTAATATAAAGCTTGTCAATGGGGTTGATATTGCAATAAGGTACCGTATACCACCGACACCAATTCTGGTAATTAATGATTTATATTGAGGATGGAAGGGGGGCTTATGAGGGGCGCAAATTTACCATGGTCAACTCACTAAATCAAGGGTGCTGATCTGTTTTGGTAGGTGGAGGGGGGGGGGGGCGAGCATTTACTGCTGTCTCTTATACACATCTAGATGGGGGGGGGGCGAGCATTTACTGAGTACACAACAATTTGAGGAAATATTACCCTCTAGATGGCCGGAAATAACACTTTTATAATTTATAGAGTAAAATTCATTACATCACCATTATAGTCAAAATGAAGCGCCAACAATTTTCTCATGATTTTATTTTCAGCGATTTTCGGCACCCATAGAGATGTAATTAATAATGTGTGATGTGCCATAGAATGTAAAACTAATAGAAAAATTGTGTTTGATGTATTTACTTCACCTACTTCAAAGCCGTGAGTCCTACACCCACCTCAGTCCCATTATGGTTGGGGCTGAGTGTGGAAAAAATTGAGGAAATAGGACCCTCTAGATGGCCGGAAATGACACTCTTATATAGTAAGGTTCATCAAATCACCATTATATTCAAAATGGAGCGCCAACAATATTCTCATGATCATTTTATCTTTTATTGGGTCATGACCCCTGACCCCCACCCACCACCTCAGATCCGCCAATGTGATATTCAGTCTGGAAACATTCTAATTAAAACATTAAATTGCTCATTTATATTAATGATTTTCAAAATCAGAAAAAAAAACTGATGAAGTTTTCAAACTTCAACTTGGTCAAAATTTGCTTAATTGCATTTTAATGAGAACGGCCTATCTGTTAAAAAGTAATTATCGTCCCACCCACAATGGATGCAGTATCAACAAAGAATGAGTCGTAAAATACATTTTTAGCATGAGAATGTTGTACTTTGTTGAAATTCACTGTTTTAAACATGGGGAAGATGCATGGTGGAGTGCAATACCCACCTCAACCCCATCACGGTTGGGGCTGACGCATGGAAATGGCACTCTTATATATAAAATGTTTTTCCAATTTGTCTGAATTTGACAATTCTGGCGAGTTTTTTTTTGTGGAGTCTAACACGGTATAAATCCGGAAACGGCCATTTCCAGTTCTCGCCCGAACGGGTGTTAGACGTGGACCGCCTGCTGATATCCGCTGATAATCCAACGCTGCAAATTGCAGTGTTTTGGAGGAGCAAAAGCAGCAAACAGGGAGCATTTTTTATTGCTCGCTCTATGCTTGATGCCTTTGTGATAGCTCTTGAATTGTTTTAACACACGCCAGAAGTAAAGTCTGTTTAAATTGTCATGGTCCCTGCTTCGTTTACAGTAAAATTTTTAAAAAAAAACAAAAAAAAACTGAAAAGCTCGATAAAATAAATTATTTCAACGGAGGGTTAGCCTAAAATCCAGATTGTTACCCTATTACATACGTCCGCCACATGCCTACGTGATCGTGGTACCACTGCTTACTTGTTAAACAATGGTAGTAATTTTCTGTTTTATACTACCATTGCCACACGAATGAAAGTTTATTCTGGGTTTATACGCCCAAAATGTACATCTGCAATTTATTGTGAATTTTCAATGTAGGCCCTATTATGAAGCTTATTGTTGTAGCTTCTTCGGTCATTTCGTTACTTGATTTTGAGATAATAACATTATGCAGTGTCAATGTCCGTTTCTTAATGAAAGCGTGGGGTGACGCAAACGTCCAGGAAAACTTGATAAGACTCATCATTTGCATAATACCTTAGGTCTTACGTCAGAGGTTAATGTTTTTTTGAAAGCCGAGTTCTGCACGAACGGGTAGACCACCCGTCGATACAATACCGGTAAGAACCCTATGTAAATTTTCCCGTTCTCGCCCGAACACATAAAGCATAATTTTTCGCGAAAGTAGAGCATGAGATATATTTTAGGATTGTCTTCGGAACAAGTCAGTGTTAGTGGGCTTCTGTTGTTCAAACAGTGGAAAAATCATTCTCTTTTGCTTTGAATAACATGGAAAAAATTAACAGAAAACGCAATATGATGTCCAATCTGTTTCTATTTAATTTCCTGATGATTCGACTGTAATTTTCGTTGTTTGTTCTTGTCTTATATACTGTAAGATTGTATTTTTGAGGCTATTACCGTAATGTCATTTTGACACAATTCAGAGTATTGCTGCCATGTCACATCTTGCTGTTTGAAATTAAAATAATCAACCAAAAAATACAAAAATAAATAGAACAATATTTGTTAGCATTTCTGAAATTTTCAGTCCTTCAGTGGTTTCTGTGCATTCCACTATTAGTACACACCTTTGTTTGTTTGTTCGAGGTTTCAGTTAAGTTGCGCGACTAGGAAAACTCCACGTTAGCGGCAAACACAGTTTTGCACATTCATGGTGTAAATCTATCATGAATATTTAATGACCAGCAAAGATCATATTATAAGATCTTTGATGACCAGAGATAACATGATAGGTTTCACTAGACACAGTACTTGATGCACTATATTATGTGGTAACTTTATATTGAATGATTATTGTTCCGATTTCTAGGCTTTGCTTGTGTTGTCTGCACAATGTGTATAAATGATTCTACATCCAATAGTTAGGCTAACATACTGTAAGCATAGCTTAAGTATTACGACAAAAATGTTGCCTCACCCAACTCCTGAAAATCTAGGTTGGGTTTTATTTTTTGACAAATACAATATATATTTTTATCAAGCAGCCATAAATACATTTTCATCATTATCCTCCTTTACTGCGCAGACCCTCTCTGGAGTGTAGCCATACATATACTGTATGATGCTTTTAAGCATCATACATTGTTACAAAAACAATCCACCATACATGTTTTAAAAAACATGTATGGTGGATTGTTTTCGTAAATTATGTTTGTATTTAATAATGAGAAGTGATATTGCAATTTTGAAAATAAAACCATTAATATTGTAATACTGATTGAAACATGTCACAATGTAAATTGTTCACTTGAATATGTTGTCAACCATGCAATTTGTGAATAAATAAATAAATATTTCACTAAGGATTTGTACAACGTGTACATTTATTAACGTCAAAATATAGATGGTGAGATGAAATTAGAATGGACGTTCCGTAGGCCCGCCCCTTGGATACGGTTGTTAAGGTCCCACAAAACGACAGTGTAAAAGCATACCCCCCCCCCACCACATGCATTTGCACGTATATTCCTAGCCCTGTTTTGATTGGTCTGTAGTTCATTGTGTATTACTGGATGAATAAGTGATAACCGTTATTGTTAATAACAATAATGGTGATGAATCTTGTCGTCGAATAAATAATACTCTTACCTCTCTCTTTCACACACACACATACACACACTTATCTCCCCCTCTCCGTTGTAGAAAATGCCTCTAAAACATCACAAACATATTAGCTGAAATTCGTCCATACTTGAGATGGCTTTTAAATAATATGTTTAAAATCGTCTTGATTTGAGCGGCTTAGCCAGAATAGGTTCTGTCCAATGTAATGAGAACATAATGCCAAAACTTGCTAAAGTAAAAATTCCCATGGTGCACTGCAAAACTAATCGTCCCCAGAAATTCTGGTCAGTTATCTGAAAAGAAAAAACAAAAAGGAAGTACTTAATATTAATAATTCCATAAAATAATCAGTTGATGACTGTCTACATTGTAAATGTAGAGGGGGAGATAAGTGTGTGTGTGTGTGTGAAAGAGAGAGGTAAGAGTATTATTTATTCGACGACAAGATTCATCACCATTATTGTTATTAACAATAACGGTTATCACTTATTCATCCAGTAATACACAATGAACTACAGACCAATCAAAACACTTCAAGTTTTTGTTTGATACCATCTCCATCCCTTAATTTTAAGTAACCCATAAGCCCTGATCAGCTTGCACGTTTACTAACTATTTACTAGAATAGTTCGATAGAACCAAATAGAGTGCAAACATCTTGCATACATTATCTTCAGTAAAAATCCCAAGACTCGGCCAAAAGTTAAAATTTGAGCCAGCATGCTTTTGATCAAGCGCCAATTATATGGTACATTTGAACGGCCATTTGCCAATGATGGATAGGCCAGTCTACTGTGTATTTAAATCCAATGGTGATCAGCGGTACGACTTAAAGTAAAGTTACAGCCTTGACCAAAATTAATGTGAACCAGGCTATAGAGGGGGTTGTGTTGACTGGTTTTAAAGGTTTGCCAGCTTTTTTGGAAGCTACCAGAGCCAAATATATAACAGCATGGAGAATCTGCTATACTGCAACATGAATACTCTTTACAGTGACAATCTCCAATTGACTAAATATTACGCAGTGATCTGTTGTTGAACAAAACAGATAACAAACCTTGATCTCTTCTGGTTCTGGTACAGCTGGTAGTTTTGGCCACACTATCAGAGTAACTGTTAGAATTGCAGCAATGAAGAATACTCCAACTGCAGCATTTCTGAAGCAAAAAAAAATCATTGTTATAGTGAAAAAAAATGTATATGCTATATTTTATGTCTAAGATGTATTATGACATTTTAAAAGCATAAAGCTGTAACTTGTGTATTGACTCTTTATTAATGCCTACTTCATCATGGGTTTAACATCTTCTACCAACATTCATTATGCATTCTTTAATCTCTAAAGCTGGTCAGATACATAGAAAGTCTTAGCAATCTAAACTGTAGAGGTCACTAGACTTAATTCTAGACAAATTTCATGTATTCTTGTGCAAACAAACCAAAGCAAATCAATTGATTTGAAAATAACAGCATCCACAAAAACAGCAACATGAGCATCAACATCAACAATAATAATAATAAAAGAATCGCTACAGTACAATTTACCCTTAGAATATGTACTATATTAACTTTAAACAAATGAAATGCCCAGCTAAATGGTATGCTTACTGTAAAGATGTTCTTGCCAATAAGATGCATGAAAGAATAGCCAACGCCCATACAAAACCAAGAATAAACACTCCAATACCCACACCTAGTACTAACGGCATGTCATACCAGTTATTCAGCTAGCATTTTTATTTATTTTTTTCTGAAAAAAATAATAAAAACATGTTAAACTTTATAGGTCTACAGTAAGAGTGGATTGTCACTAGTTAAGTTGATAATAAATATTTATACACAAGAATTATTATTTAAAAAGTAAAAACTTAATTAAAAGAAAATGCAGAAAAGGCTGCTGCTCTTTGCAGATGAATATGTGCACCTTATAAGATGTCATTATTGTTATTATTATTATTACTATTGTTGTTAATATTATTATTATTACTATTATTATTATTATTACTCCACCTATGAGTAGTATTCCAAACTATTGCAGCTACTGTTCAGTGGATTGGCATTTGAACCTAACCCCCAATCATTATACTCCTAGCCTAGGTGGAGAGAGGGAAAGATCATGGAAAAAGTGCCGTGCCCTAGGATATAAACAAGTTGTCAGCTTCACACTCTGTCCCTGTACCCGATGGCCACCATATGGACCAAAAAAAAAAGTTGTTGGACATAATATATTCTGAAACATCTAGGCTATAAAGAACAGCTCAAAACTCCCAAAAATCGCAATGTCTTTTGCATCACAACAATTTTATTTTTAAGCATTGATGTACTGCACAACATACAATAAATAATAGTAGTAGTAGGCCTAACTCTACACAAGACAAGACACAAGATGATACAAGTTAATGGAATGGCTGGTAATTATTATAGTTAAGAATATTCACATCAACAATATTTAGTTAGGCCTTTAGGCCTATTATCCCTACAAAAAACCTTCCTTAAATATGCTTGGAGGGACTTGGCTTTTGTCTACTGCTAGGCCTACATATTATACATCTATGCGGGTAGAGTAGACTTCCATGGCATTTTCTAGAGCTTGGGCATATTTAGGCGGTTAACTAGGCATTGGTTAGAGGATCTATGCTAGGACCAGGATACCTCTCTTTCTTGATTATTGATAATGGTGGCAGGTGGGACGCAAGTAGGCCCAGCCCAGCCTAGGTCAGGCCTAGGCTAGGCCAGGCCTAGGCTGTTCATTATGATGGCAGCCACCATCATACAAATCACTATTACGTCCTATATTTTTATAACTTGTAAAATATATGATAACTAGGCTAATACATATAATTGAAAATAGTTAATAGTTAAATGAGTTTATAGTTACAAATAAATTGTACAATCTAAGTTATCAGAATCAATCAGCAGGTTCAACCTTTCTATTTAGGCCTATGTTTACCGGTTACCACCGTCAATTGTGACGATGACAAGCTCCCTCTCTTGGTGCTTTCAATATTGCGTTCATTTGTCGTGTTGATTAAAAGCGCGTTAATTGTCACCGAAAACTCGTTTTAAGTTGTCAATTCAATTACGAATTGAATTAGAACCAAGAAGTTAGGTAAAAGATTGTAATAATAATGTATTCTTTGACATTCGAACTTTACCACTGTATTAATGAAAACAAAAATGGGACAAAACAGTATCAGCTATAGAGGCGCCAAAATATGGAATGACTTAGAACACAATATAAAAAATCTACAAAGTATTAGTTTATTTAAAAGAGAAATACATAACAGACTACTTAACAAATATAGATAAAACTGGTAATCTTTACTTTACTTGGTCGAAATTTTACTTTTCTTTCCATTGTATTTGTCATATTATTATTACACTGTTTTTAAGAATCTTGATTTATAAATGAATCGTCTTCTATTATGTTAATAGTTAAATGAGTTTATAGTTACAAATAAATTGTACAATCTAAGTTATCAGAATCAATCAGCAGGTTCAACCTTTCTATTTAGGCCTATGTTTACCGGTTACCACCGTCAATTGTGACGATGACAAGCTCCCTCTCTTGGTGCTTTCAATATTGCGTTCATTTGTCGTGTTGATTAAAAGCGCGTTAATTGTCACCGAAAACTCGTTTTAAGTTGTCAATTCAATTACGAATTGAATTAGAACCAAGAAGTTAGGTAAAAGATTGTAATAATAATGTATTCTTTGACATTCGAATAAAATAAAAGGTCTCTTGATTTTGGTGGTTAGAAAATTTCTAGTGCAGAGTAGCTCTTTCTTTTTTTTTCAAAATTCTAAAATAAAATGCCAAGAAAAGAAAATTATATTAAAATTTAAGTCTGAGAATGTCATTTCTGATAATTTGGAGCCTAGTGCCTAATCATAGATGTTCTTACCTCAGTCCCAACATGGTGGGGCTGAGGTAAGAAAGGGTGTCTTTTCCTCTATCTGTGGAAGTTCCTGGCCTCCTTTTATTTCGAACACCGATAGGGCCATAAGAAAATGAGTGGGGCTGACATAGAAAAAAAATAGAAGTACACAATTTATATCCTCCCGCCTCTGGTCTCAACAGATTGGAACTGTCCCCCAGTTGAGAAATATTAAATACCTGCAGGGGTACGCCGTTATGTTGTGTAAATATTACTGTCATTTCCCTTTTTAAGAAAGTATAATACGGTACATACTCCAAGTATTGAAATGCACGCCATCGTGTTGGAATTCAATATTTCGCGTGCATTTCAATACTTGGAGTATGTATTATCATTCTTATCTGAGATTAATCATTGGACCTTTCGGTTTCCCTTTTGATGCACGTATGATATACAATGTACGCATGCAGTATGATGTACCATATAATATGATCCGTTACAAATATGTAGATATGTATGTGTATATTTTGCATAATTATATGCATATTATGTGTCATATATGTATATTGTATTATGAATATACTCGTATACCTATCAACTTTTTTCATGCTGATTTTTCCTTTATTTTACTATATTACTATTAATGTTAAGATACATTTTGTATTGTTTGTACGACGCACCGCCCTGTTGAGTTGCACCGATAAATGGTGTATTTCAATAAATTAGTATGCAATGCACAGCTTTTTTTGCAACTTTTCTCCGATGACAGTAGAGTACGACGCGTTAACTTTCATTCCAACGCATCGACTGTAGTACATTATTAATGAGAAGCCTAAAATTTTAAGTAGCGCCCTCAATGTAAAGCAATTATTAAAATATTATGCAGTGAAAAGACATCATGTTTTTGATCCTCGATCCATGTACGGCACTATGTGCCCATATTATGTTGTGTTCTAATATCTAAGAAATTTTCATATTTTAATTTTTTTCTATATAAAGCGATAATTTATTTGTGATTTCTTAGCGAGCCTATAGTTTATATTTTATGCGGTATATAGATTATACATATTACTTTATTTTAGTCTTAACACAGCCAGCACCAAGCAAAACCACTATTTCGAGATAAAAAATTAACTAAAAAATATAAACTTGTTTACTTCATACTTTTAAACTGTTTAAGTTACGTTTACATATTAGCTTTTCCTTATCAATTTTATATCAGCCGATATCCATCCAGCCATCGTCGAGACCGCATTCGGGACACAATTACTGATAAACGATTAATCGAGATAATTATTATTGATGAGAATAATATTTTGTTTAATATTGAAACGAAATATACTGCATAGGCCTAATTTAGATTGTAGGCTATAACGTCTGATGACGTCTATGAGAATAATAGAAAGAGAGAATGCTAGACAGTGACATTTATGTATCGTTACTTCCAACAATTAAAGAATACTGCTTTTTTGTCTATTCCCGCCAAAGCGCAAAGTGAAGCCACGCCTTATAGTCTTTATTATTCAAATTTGCCTATATGAATTATTCATTATGCACGTGATGAATGCCAATCAGCCGTCGGCGTTGTTGTAAATAGCTGTCTGATCGCGCTAAGCGTTGCGTTGACGGGAGAGTGACACACGAAGGTACGTCAGTCAAATTTCTTTTTCCGCCATCAATTTTAGGTTTTAGAAAACTTATTAATGCTTTTGCATATGCTATGTTTCGTGTGCTAACCTACTACGGTGTTGTAGCTTTCATTTTTTTCGTATGCACACACTCATTCGTCGTCAATTAAAGAGATTCTCGCAGAATAGAATGTTTGAGATAGCCTGTCCGACATGTTTGAAATCGATTCTCTTTGTGTGTGTGGTTGATGGACGCTGTAAGTGAAGCGTTCACAAGGCATTTAGGGAGGGGTTCACTAATCATCTCGACAGTTGCATTTCCCTTGATTTATCATCTAAAAGTGCGCTCTAGGTGAGCGCCAAGAACGGCCTAGGCCTATCTTGGCATTCAGCTGGAGGCTGCAAAGTTTTTATAATTATTGTAGTTCTATGTTTATTGCACTAGGCTAGGTCTAGACTGCTTATTTATTTCATAATATTTTAATAATGACAAAAAATAAGAGTAAAGCTGGCTAGGCCTAGCCCAGTTAGGACGCCTAGGCCTTACCCTGTAGCCTAGGCATTATTGGTTAACAAAAACGGCCGGCTAGGCCTAGTTAAAGGCCTAGGCTACCTAGTCCAGCTATATTTATAGCCAAGCCAAGTAATAATAAACCAGTGTTGATTCTACTACAGTGGCCTAGGCTAGGCTTGGGCCTCAAATGAAGGGAGTTCTTGCTCAATTAAAACATCATTTGTTGTTGAATAGAAGGGTTTATTTATTTGGTGTGATTACCCTTTTACCCACTCGCTCCCATTTACAATGAATTCGTGTTGCCTATGCTAGAAAAATGTATTAAATTAAATGCTGTGCTGAGTCCTGTTTTGACAAAAAAAAATAACAAGTACTGTTATAGACTATACAGTAAAGAGTAAAACAGGCTCTTATTTACTTCTCACTCATCAACCTCCTTCCAATAATAAATGTAAATACCGTCATGCACAAAAAAAACTTACTTATATGTTGTGTACAGTCTATTTTTGTTACACTTTTGGTGACTGGCTCTTTCAGTTTTTATAGTTAATATAGGCTATAACAGTATCTTTCTAAAATGTACTGTATTATTTTCCAACAATATAGCGAACAACTTGATTGTCCTCTAATCCTAGAATGCCTAATTGAATGATTATACAATCATTTGGGTTTAGGCAAGACTTTTTTATACATTGTTTAGCGACCCCGCTGACTGCAAATATTGATGATTTTGAATAACAATAAAATTTTAACTTTGGCCAATTAGCGCACCAGCCATCACGAAAAATGTAAATTTCAGAAAAAAATTAGATAATAAAAGTAGGAGCCGTATTAGTCTATAGCATAAAATACAAACAAAATGAATACAGTAGCACCTTCTGTAGACTAACAAAAATTTAATGAAACACAAGCTTTCGCTAGCTTCATCAGGTGAATGAAAAAAATTAGTTCTTTTTAATTTTTATTACGCCCACCACTGCCTTGAAATCTCCAAAGATAAGATATGTAAATTTCTTCCTAATTATGTAAATTTGGAACATTAACCATCCCATTTTACTTTAACCAATAAAATTTTATTTTTATTTTCTCCTCCGTCTGGATGTTATTGGCAAAACGATTTTCTAATAAGAAAAAAAATCTTATTTTTATTCCGACCTCCTCCAATGGTCTTTAAAAAAATAAGTGCACTAAACAAGGAATAAAAACAGTCTCACCTTACATTACTAATTGCCATAAATTATTTTAGATTTAAAGTTAGTTCATTTCTATCTAGGTTGAAAACAAATTTTAAATTATAGTATTAAGCCTAGCAATGAATAAAAATGTAATATTTTCAATTCATTTATTTTGTATACAATACTGTATTACAAACAATATAAAAAGATAAAGCAGTAGGAAAAAAAATAAAGATTAAAAAAATGTTGGTCTATGATTCTCCACAGTGATCAGCAGGATAACCAAAAAGTAAAATAAATTACTGTCGATGTGGCTCTCCGATAATCCGATAATAATCAAACACAAAGAAAATGCAGTAATAAATTTAAATCACCAATACTGTATAGGAAATAATTAACATTTCAATTACCATCATTATAAGATCATTATTAAATTTAGAAATATATATGTTTTTTGGGGTTTTTTATACATTTTTTTAAAGATAAATTTTAAAATCAGATACAATAAATGACAAGACACTCAGTTCAGAAAACTCGGTATCCAGATATGTCCAAGCATTTTTCATAATCACTGATATATCTCTAATAATAATTTAATGTAAATAATAATTAGTTTTTAAAGTTGCAATACATCTGAAATGCATATTTCAGACATTAAATTAAAACATTGATTGTGTCAGTAGTAATTTAGTTGACCTGCTTAATATGCAGAAAGTAGACCCATCACTGTTGACTGTTGTTACTGAAATCTGTCTGCCTACAGTAGTAATGGAGGATATGGTTTTCTTATGTTACTTGGTGCCTAACAGTCAGTTAAAGAAACATGGCTTGGATGGAGAGTCTATAATGTTTACATTTTCAAAATGATTGACACCGGTGCTGGAGATCATGCTTAAGCATCACAGGACTAAAATGTAAATACAGTTTAAAGCACCTCTAAACAACAAAGTAAGTTATTTGATTAAAGTGACAAGATATCAGATACACTTCATCTTTCAACATTAGAGACCCACCACTGGTTTGTTGAAATACAGTACAGTACTGTATAACCATGGAGGAAGAAAATATTTTCTTCCTGCATGGTATAACCCATGGTATAACCAAACTTTTCAAAAACACAGTATATCTAAGAGTTGGAGAAGTAATAACTTGTTTGTTGATGGATGCTAATCTCTTTACCAGCCTGGTCGGCCACGTGGGGGAGGGGGTTGGGGGAACACTTTCCTGGAGCCGCCACTGATAATGATAAATTATGTAAATCACCTTTATGTTCGAGAAATCAAAATGCTAACTACCCGTAATAATAGAGAAATAGGAGATTGCAAGCACACAAAAAATTAGTTAGCATTTTGAAAATGAGAAAAGGGAAAACCACTTGATTGATCTTAAAAGTACTGTACAGTACATGCAAAGGTACTAAAATAATGACTATTTTAAGTTTTTTCTTATTTGTCTTTCTTGGTTTGAATACGTCACAAGCTAAGCAGTAGATAATAATTCATTATTTATTAATGTTATTAGTTTTTACGAAATATATAAGCGGGCATAATTATGATTACCAGGGTAATTTTAAAAACTTGTTATGATGAGTATTTCAGTGGCAGATTCAAGGGGCCCAGCTGGCCCACCCTCCCTAATTTTTTTCAAAATTTAAATGTGGAGAAAAATGAAAATTATCATATCATAAATTTTCTTACCTCAGCCCCACCATGGTTGGGGCTGAGGTGAGTTGTGGTCTACACTCTCCATCTGTGTAGAAGTCCCTTCCTAGGCCCAGCTCCACAGTATTTCAAATTCCTGGATCCACCACTGTATTTTGAAAATGTAGTGTGGAAATAAATGTCAATTGCATTAATTAAAATCAATTAGATACGACTTATAAAAGGCTACAGGAGCCAGAGCTTCCAAGGGGCTCCACCTCCTGGACCCTCATCGGGCCCCTAGTAGTGGTGGCGGGGCAAGAGGGGCTTAAGCCTCCCCATCGGACAAGTCAAGACCGGCTGAGCTCGTCGGGCAGTCAGATAAAAAAAAATTAAAAATAGGTTTACACCTTACACCAAGCAAAAAGTCGTAGTGTGCCATTTCTGGCCATCCAGAAGTCCCTTATTTAAAAAAAATCTCAATTGGGAGGGGGATACCCCTCCAAAACCCCCCTCTGTAGGCATACAAGCCCAAGCCCCCTGTCGGACAGCTTAGCTTACCTAATAACAAAAATAGTAAATCCAGACTTACTATCAAAGAAAAGTCCATCCACATGTCCAATTAAAAATTTACCGAAATCTAATTTTAAGGCAGGACAGCAAGATACAATATTCTTTTATTGTCGTTTATGGATAAATTCATTCATTTTCCGGATGCTTATACAAATAATTAATACAACTCTAGGTTATTACAAAAGACAAAAAACAGATACATATACAAGATGAGTGGACTTTGTGTACACAAAAAGTAGCACAAAATAATAAATTACTGATGCACCTATCCTTTGTACAGTCTGCATTCAAATATTTTGTATGATTTTCTAAACTGGTGAGTGGTTCTTTATTAAATATAGTACAAATTGTTTATATAAACTTTGATCAAGTAAACTATGTTTGCTAATTTATTGTGCAGACTTCCTGTTGGTGAACTTGTTTCACCTTCAATTGTTTGTATAAACTTCCTCACCACTACAACTCTTTGTATTGCCCTATTTTCATTAAAAGCTGGTCAGCAGTGCCAGTGGCTGCATCAGGGTGTTGTTTTTTTTAAACTATAGTGGGTGTGTTTTTCTCATTGCATTGGTTTAATTTAAAAATTGTACTGTGCATACTTAAAGGATATCAGTAATACATCCTTGGTTTCTTATAAATATTATACTGTACAGATGGAACGGTAATATGAAATGATTCAACATTTTTTTTATAAATGATATTCAGTTAAATCATTCCATTCTTTAGATAATTTTTTCATAATAAAATGTACATGTATGCTCCTTTACTTTAAATCTCATAATCAAAATTTTCATTAGAACTCAAATAACTGCTATCTGGGATGCTGCAAAAATCGTTAGAATTTATAACACAACAACATATAAATTTTTTTGACGATTTTATTGCTCTTCTTTTCTCTTCTTACTATTTAACTATTTTCTTTATTTTACATAGGATCTTTCATAATTTTTTACAATGATTCTTAATATCGTTTTAATATTAAATATTTTAACGTATTGCATTTTAACATTTTGTATCGTGTTCTACTTAATATCTTAATATACTGTACTGTAATTGTACTGTTGGCAATGTGTGTATTCAAACAAAAAATGTCCATTTTAATATTACATTTGTATT